AGAACACTGTCAGCTTTAGAAGCTAATATTGACTATATCATTCACTAAAGTTCCAGAGTGTGGTACCTTAAAGAATTTTCCTAAAATGATCTCACATGATTGTGTTTTTTCAACTTCAATGAAGTTATCTTAACTTCCTCCAAGAAGATAGTCTATTTAATTAAACTGACAGTACATATATCACCAAAAATACACTTAAAGAAACGTATAGACAATTCACACGACATAATCTTCTTGATCAGATATAATTTATTTCTATTTCACATATGGTTACTAACTTCAAACAAAATCATTAAAAATGGGTCTCAGAAACTTATTTTTGAAGTTCTTCTTTGTATTTCCTCGCCCATTCTTCCTCCATACTTTCTATGTTTTTATATTTTATATTTTCCTTATTCGCCTGTGTTGCTCAAACTGTTGATTGCCAATTATGTATTTTCAACGGAAATAAATTATTAATGCGAAGTTAATCTAAATCTTAAGATCACGATTAATTCTAAATCTTGTGAAGACATGTTCATATTTATATTGCAGTTTTAATTTAGATGTTAGTATAGACTTTTCAGTTAATAATTTATATTTTCATATATACTCAACATTTCTGCTTACTATTAGACAAATAACATGTACCGACAGACAAGTATGCCCTCAAGCATATTGTTTGTCTACTACATAATTATTTGCATATATATATATATATGTATATACCTTAATGAACAAAATTCACAAAATTCCCAATAATAATTTATGGAAGCATAATTATTAACAAATTAAATGTTAAATCACTGGTTTTTTGACAATATGAGTAAGCATTTGTTTATTACCTTAAAAGCTTTAATGACCTAACAAATTATTGCCTGCTATCGATGGTGAATTATCAAAATATTCCATTTGGTATGCATCATTTAAGCCATTAGAGCGTTTTCATTTGTTCAATATATGACATATTACATTTGATTCGAGCGCTGTTCCTAATTAATCCGGAATAGTCGTCCAAAACATGGCAGCAGCAATTATTACTAAATTATTTTAATATGCACAAATGATTCTCTTAATTGAGTTTAAATCACTAATACAAACATAACTAAAAAGCACACATGGACACATACATATGCACACAACCACTCATTTGTTAACTACTACAAATGTAAATTAAAATTAAGATAATTGCACTTAAATTAAGTATTCAAACACGCGTAAAAAGCAAACTTAATTGCCCTGTCACATGTTGACAATGATTTTACAGCAATTATTTTGTTACTAAAATATTGACTTTTACACAAATACATAAACAATGCAGTTCCGTAATTAAAGCGAAATTAAAACAAAACAAAACAAAACTGATAAAAAACAAAATAAAACATCAAGGAAAAAACAGAAACCAAAACAAAAACAAAATCCTGAAACAATGTGTGAATCGCGTAATGGAGGCGTCGGGAGTGCGAATGTTCATGTTAGGAGCACATTTTCCATATTTTCAGAGTAATTTTCTGTAATGAATCGATTATTGCTGTTATTCCCGAGGTCTTCACATGTGAACACATCAATCGAACATTGTTGAAATCATGTGACAGGAAAAAAGACACATGTGCGCTTTCTCACAATTCGTGAAACAATAAAGAAGTAATGGAACCATTAGAATGGTTCCATGTCAAGAGTCAGTAAAATGCGAATAAAGACATTTTTTGTCATTTATCGTTGAAGTAATTTTGTTCTTCTTATATGACAAATAAAAATGAAAAAATATTATTAACTTCTGTACATTCATCAATAAAAGCATTTGTTATTGTCTATTAATGACCTACAGAACTTCCTTTTAAAACGAAGGACACAGACTATATATGTTGACTCTTGTAAGATTATGCTTAAACAGACCAAATACAGTAAAAACTCTGTTTTACGAACACTCTAATAAATAATAAACATTCCTTTGTTTGTGCATTGGTGCAATTTTTCTAATAAGGTATGTTTCTTAAAATAAATAACACTCTTAAAGAATATTCCATACATTAATATATATTTAGCGCAATATAAACAATAGAATAAAGGGGATGACGTCGACATAATCTTAGTAAAATGAATTTATGTTAGATCGTGATGGTGATGATGTTTCCCAAGGAGAGTCGAAATATTGAATATAATGAAAAATATTAAACAAACGTTGAATTATTTAACGAAAAGTGACCTATAGCCGGATACAAAAGAATATATGTATATGAAAAACATTATAAAAAATCAGGTCGATAAATTAATTCAAAATTTTATATATATAGAATATGTATGTTCTTTACTACAGCATATAAAAGTAAGATATTTCTTTTTATTGTAATCGTAACTATTATCAGAAGCAAACTTTTGACAGAGTTGAATTAGAGAGTTTGTGTCATTTATACTTTATTTAAAATATGTGTGACGAACACATTACAGACATCAGTGCCATCTGTTAGGATAAACAGCATCATCAGCAGCTAAGAGAACAAGCAAGCGGCCATTGAAATACAACAGGTCGTCTTAGTTTTCTATTTTCTAATTTTTCACTTTTAAATAAAATAATTATTAAAAAATTGAAAATTAAAATTAATAATCAACCAAAATCAATGTTAAGAATGTTAATAAAATTTTGAAATTTCTTTTTACAACATAATAATAATAGTTTAGAATATTTATGCTTGAATAAGTACTAACTTGTTAGCAACTAATCCAATAAATCCATAACTGATTCATTCAAAAACTGAAAAACTAATTTGTACATTAACAGATAGACATAGCTTAATCTATTCATGCGAATGCAGTCGAAACATGATTCCTTATACATAAGATGACTCACATCACCCTTCATCATTACAGTGAAAATGGTTTAATACATTTGATATTTGTATAGTATATGTAAAGGACTTAAAAAATGTTAATTTTAATTATAATTTTTAACAATTAATACAGCTTACTTTAATTTGTATACTTTAAGATATATATGGAAAAAACTATTATAAACAGCTGTATTGACACTGCGTTAAAAAAAATTTTGGAAATGGGAAAATTTTAGAGACTGTCACAAATATTATAAATGATTATTAATATTATTATATATGATTAATCCACTCTCTGTTTTTAAAAAAATTAACTATATGTGATACTATACAGAAAACAACTACGTTTATATTTGCTATTTGAAGTAAACCAAAAACTTATAACTAAAAGGGGTAAGGTTGAAATATTAATAAAACTATATTATTTTTATTCATTTATTTAATTTAATATGTTCAATTTTATTTATTTTATTAAATTTATTTTATTTATTCTTTAATTTGCTAAGAATTTGAATTATGACTCCATCATATGACAAAATGAAATGTTGACAAACAACTAGAAAATTGCTAAACATTCCTAAACTAAATAATTTATTATGAAATATATATGAAAAAAATATTTTTCATAATACACGAAAGACATTTTTGCACATTCACTACAGATTTAAAACTATTTCAACAGATTTGTAAGCTACTCAGATAATTACTGCATCCATTTCGCTAAACCTGAAACGATCTACAAATAAACCTGCATCTATAATAACCTTATACTACAGTAGGCGCACGATATAAAATATCATATAAAATCAAAGATAAATGTATTCAACAATCTTATTTTGAATTTCTATTAGAATTTGAAAACTTTCATGTTTAATAGTGTTTGACTAAATTTGACTAAGCAGTAAAGTGCATATATAATATGTAATATTGGATCATATCGTTTAGCCAGGATAGTAAAGTTACGATTACATATTCATTTTAAACACATCATTTGTCTGAGATAAAACCTTTCTAGACAATATAATTGGCAAATCAAATACGACACTTTTGTATCAAAACTTAATTAACACTTATATTTATTAACTTGTTCTAAACCAGATCAACGAAGCTACATGAAACAAAACCTTTCTTATATGCTATAGATTTTTACTTATAACTTTTTGAAAAAACGTAAGGAGTGAAAATGGATATGCAACTTTGATCTAAAATCACATTAAAATCATAATAGTTTAAACGACCGACTCACCGAAATTTGTTATACATGTAGGCTACCCTAATGACAATGATGCAAATGATAACTCTATCAGCTAAAGAGTGGTGTGGAAGGGTATGCAGTAGCACGGGCAGTGAGTGGTTGACGTGCATTCGTTGAGATCAGTTTGGAGTTGATACTTCTTTTCTTTTTTCTGTATCAATATTGTAGCTTTATTATTTTAATATATAAGAAATAATTGAAACCTACTGCTCACAAACTTTTCCTACAAATATATTCTTCTTAATTATAAGAAAATCTTCAATTTAAAGAATACATATTATTTTTCATTTATTTAATTGTACTTGCTACATACTAACACCTGTGTAATGAATGGCAATATAGAGTCAATTACTTCTTATAACTTATAACTTTGCTTTAATCTGCGAAAAAATATCCTTCACTGATAATATGTAACATAATATATATCGTAATATCCATGTTTAATAATAATGTCACTTAAGCCATACATTTTCTTAAAAAATTTCTATTAAAAATTTATTTTTATTCAGAATAAAAATTAATTGTATTCCTTTTTAAAAATAAACTATAGATCTCTAAATTCCATTCATTTTTTTATAAGCTATGTTAGTATTACTGCATTCAATGAACTTACCCATTTCGTTGTAATGTTTTTTGTCCTTGCCTTGCTCTAGATTTTATGGTACAAGAAAACAAAAAACTACGATGAAATAAATGTGTTTACGTGCTGATATTTTACAAAAACTTTTTAAGTCAATTAGTCTCGATTTAATAAGAATTACGTACTTCAATGCTTTTCCATTCATTTCGAATACGAATCCCTAAAAATGGTTCAATTTTATTGAACTGAATTGACAACTCAACGCAAATACTTAGGGAAGAGAAAAGAAATCCGATAGGTAAACAGATAACAGAAGTAGAAAAGTTTAAATTGTGAAGTGCAAAGTAGTAAAACTTGTCTTAAAAAGAGTTTATTTCATTAATTGATACAGAAATACTAAAGGAGAACAATTAAAGTATCTGAAGAATTATTAAAAAAATTGTCACAAAATATTTTTAGAAAAGAAACACACTGATTTTGAGATTTACAAAAATTTCCCCGGTACTTAGTATGTTACTTAATAGCAGTTCCTTTCGCGCCATTGAAACACTCTCCTTTCATATAATATCGGCCAGATGACAGTGAGCGCGGCTCGGGAAATCGCAGGCCTGCAATGTATGAGAAAAGCATTTAAAAGTGAAGCGAAACATGTAATTTCAGTGCATGTAAAATGCACTGTCAATGGCTTTGACTTTGTACCTGAATAAGTTCGTTGTAGTGCAAGCCATCCGGACACTTGTTCATGTAGGCGATACCTCGATTGCATTTGTAAAACACGCTACAACTTGTTGGCGAAGGATATTGGATGACAATGGACTCATCCTCCTGTTCGGTGGGACAAACAATTTCAGCCGCTGTTAACGCAAAAACACTGACAATTAAAATGGCAACTGTTAAAGTGTAAAACTTCATTTTTCAATAGGCGATGGCACGTTTCAGTTGGAAAGCAAATAGTTCAGAGCTATGAGTATGAGTACGTCACAACAGCACTGAACGAATACGAATTTGATTTCACTTTGACGCTTTGCTTTGGGATTGCACGTTTTTATTGGCAGCTACGGTTTGTTGTTGTTTTGTTTTGGGAACTGATAAGTGTTATCAGGTGTACGCGATGTAAATATTATTTTTTACCTAGCTGAGTTAATTTGCTATTTGTTGACAAACTTTTTCCATTTAGAAACATATTCGAACATTAGTGCTACAGAGACCGAAACTAATTGATGTTTATTCAAAAATATTAAAAATAGCTTAACAAGTATAACATTTATGGAATGTGTATTTTTAATTCAATTAGCCTTGTCAAGCTCTATGGATATTTTTGGTAATTTTCTGTCAGAATTTTTAATTAATGCACTAGAAGCTTTAGTTTCATAAAATAAAATATTTTCCGTAATGTCGTCACCTACTGAGCAGCGAAGCAGCACCGTAGTTCGGTCAAAGGACAAACTGCTCCGCATGTGTTTTTAGCATTTTTTGCTTACTCTGTTTTGTGTACTTACGACTTACATACTTCATATATATATACATACATATATACATAAGCACACAAAATTCACATAGATACTCATCTCTATTAGAACTGCTCGCCATTTGGTGACAATAATTAGTTTTTTCCTCTGTTGATATATATGCTGCCTTTTTATATTCAAACATCCACAAGCCTTTGCCTCTGCCTTTGCCTTTGCCATTGCCTGGGAAGGCAAAAATAAAATATTTCAGTTGTGAAAGAAAATTTCTGTAAAAGTTCCTACTTTTGGTAAATGAATTCAAAAGGATTTAGTGCTTTTATTGCCAATATAAATTTTGTGCAAAATGTTTTAATTAAATTTGCAAAACTTTTGAATGCAACTAAATTTCCTTTTAATTATATAGAAAATTTCTACACAAATAAATAAAAATTAAAAAGAGGTTAGATTTATGCTCACCACTAAAATTTTCGGAGTTAAAGTATTGAATATATTATTTTAGTTAAATAAAAAACTTTTTTACATATTAAAATTTATAAGCATTACTTGATATTATATATAATATTTAAAGTAGCTTAAAATTATGTAGAAAATACCACGCTGATTTTGTATTATTAAGCAAGTTAGTAGCTTTTACTAGGTCACCATGCAATCACCTATTAATTCGACGGATATGTGTAACATAAATGAATATATAAATGCAGAATATATCAGATTAAATTCTGCATTTAGCGTTAGTACCTTTTTAAATCAGATTTAACCATGACTCCATTAGCAACAATATTAGTATGGAGTAGCTGGAATATGCAGCTACGTGATTGATACTCCTTAACAATGCAAACAAAACTGTTTGATACTAATATATATTTCCTTTTTTTTATATATTAGTACTAATTTTTATAGAAATTTTGAAATTTTTTAAATTAATTTTTCTTGCCGAATGCTACGCTGCTAATTACAACAAAGAAGCTATTGTTAAAAGTTGGAAGGAGTCAAATAGAAAGAAAACAGAAGAACAAAAATTTCGTTGATTTATTAAGATTTGTCTGACCATACAACGCCGTTTCGAGTATTGCTAAGTACTCATCACCAATGGTCTTAGATGATATTCGACTTTTTTTTAATTAATTTAAAGTCCATATGTAATTTGTTTAGATTGCAAGTGCCATTCATAGAACTCGTGTCTGTCAAATTAGAAGCGATGATTATTTGTGTTTTTCCACAAGTTTTTGTCACTTTTTTCTTTTTTTTTTGTTTTTTTTTTAATGACACTAACCAAAGCTTATAAACTATAGCTTTATTTGGAAACACAAGTTCAAAAAAATTAAAATTAATTTTTGAATTTGCCTACTTTGATTTTAAAGCTATTTTTTTGTCGTAGAGATAAGTACCTGTAGAGTAACTTTCCAATTTTGTTAGGTGACACTAAACTAAGTTTAATGATAAAACTGAAATAAATAAACAAAGTAAAATTGTCAAAGATTTTTAAGAATTTTGAAGCAATATAAGAAATAGTGACACTTCCTTCCAAAATACCCAAAGCTTAAAAATTCTTATAAAACTTTTAAACCAGATAGCTTTAAACTTACCTAGATTTCAATTTCAAATGAATATCTTTCCTAAAAAATATAAATTTAAGCAAATAATATTACATACAATTTTTAAGATATCTTATATGTTCAAATGCAGATATGTTCAAAAGCAAAAGTGTATATCCTAAGCTTATTAGAAAATAAACTAAATTTAGTGAAAGGATTAAAAGGAGTAGAAGTTTCTCAACTTAAGTTTTGTGGAAAAACTTGAACTATTTTTTGAGCGATAAGCAACTATAATATCTCACAGCTAATGTAGATCAAACACAATGGTATTAGTGCTATAGCACAGACGCAACAACAACCCGCACTCGCATGTCGGAGTATTCAGCAAATATAATCCATTCGGTTATGTCAGGGGAAGGAAGAAGGCAGAAGGCAGTACAAACAAGTGTTATGTTCATGCAAGAATCATGCAGTATCCTTGCTGATAAATTTAATATGCAAAATAGACGCCATAAACACCGGAAATGAAAGGAGGAAAGACTAAAGAAACGATGAAAGAAAAATAAAATATTTAAAATAAAAGAAATTTTTTGTTTAAATAAGTAAAAAGTTTTTAGTACTTTTTTATACACTTTGGGCACTTTGCGTTCTGATGGGAAAGCATTAAAGTTAGTTGCTCGCAAAGAGAAAGATAATCATTTATTTATTTGATTTAATATGAAAAAATGACTTTGTTGTGAAATTTTTTAGATTTCATTTCAACAAGATGTAATAAATCCATTGCAAAAAAGCAAGGAAAAGTAACGTTTTAGTTATTATGAAGAAATATTATGGCATAAAACAAATAAACAAAGGATATTAAAAAAAACAAATTAATTATTGAGAGTAGAACGTTAAAAAATTCACAAAGATATCTTTAGGATTTTTTATATAATTTTATATAATCTGTTTGACATAGCAACGTCAGATGAGAATTTTTTAATTGCAATTAAGTAATTTATAAAAAGAATATAATCTATTCAAACTATGATAATGCAATATCTGTTTAGTTTTATAAATATAAGTGCAGTTATTTGTCTAAAAAGATTTACTTCGCAATCATGTAAATAAATAATAATGAAACAATAATAATATAAAGTCAACTCAGTTATACTAATATATTTTATTTAACACAGTGTTCAAAATATAAGATAACATCTTTTATAAGTTCATTTATGCTTCTAAACCCATTTGGGGGCCTACAAAGTACTCCCCTCGCTACGCAATATAAATATAGCAACGCTTTTTTTATCTTCTCAATCGTCTCGAAACAATATCTTTTCAACTAAGTGAATAACCAGAAGACACATCATTATAATGAAAAGAATACGATGGTTAATGGACAATGTAAGTTGAATATTATTTTGATAGTCAGAAAGCATTATTTCATAGACTTTAATTCGAAGCGGTTTTTCCAAAAAAATTAAATGAATTAAATAAAATCATTTTTCAACATTATATGACGTCATTCAAATGAAATATTTACAGTATCAGCGAGGTCTCTGATAGACAATGGAACACAAATTCTTTCAGTGTTGTTCTGCAATTGATATTTATAATTGTTTAGGATGATTTTATTCTTTAACGCTTTTAGCATTTGCTTTGAATTGTTTAAGTCGGATCTTAAGATTTTTTGTTTTGTAACTTGATCGCTAAAGGCCTTCTGCAATATGTTCAGTTCCAACTTAAAAAAATAGTTGCCAGAACTGAAAAGTCATGAAATTATCAATGATTTTTGGTTGTCAGTTTGCTGTTATCATTTATGCTTAATTGGCTTACTTAAAAGATACCAATTGAGCATAAATATTCTGATTATTTGAGGTTATTTAAACCATATTAATGTTGTTTATTTACATACGAAAAAAAATTATTAATGGATGTTAACAATAATATCTCTTGATTGATCGGAAATTTTATAATCTTATAGTCTTATTTTTATAGTCTTATTTTATAAAAATAAATTTAAAACATTACTAATTAACCTGAAATTTTGACAATTTTAAATTTCATATGCTTTGGTAAAGGAAATACAAATATTCATCATTTTTTAACCTTTAACTTGAATAAAAATTATAATAAGTACAACTTAATTTTTTTATATAAATTTTTTTTTTTTTGCTTTATGGGAAAAGGATATCTAAATGCAAAAGGATAAGTAGCCAACCTTTTTAAAAAAACATGTCAAAAGATTTTCACGAGTCACAAACAGAACCATTCTTTCTAAATGATTTATGATGGATTCAGTACCATTCGAATTATATAAGTGCTTTTTGATGAGGGTCCAATGAAAGAGGCGAATAATTGTATTTTTTTAATTGAAATTATCGTGAAAATTCATATTTTAAATTAAAAAAAACTTTAATTTAAAGGTATTACGCATTTACCCATTTTATTTCATACTGGATTAAAAATGTTAAAGTATTCAGTTCATAATTTCAAGCAATTATTATTTGAATATAATTAAAAAAAAATGTTTCTGACAGCAATTCTTGTTGTGATTTATTCTTAGATATGATCCTACATATTATACATATATAATATAGATTTACAGCCATTATCTGATAAACGGCCATATTCAAAAGTTTCAGCCAGATATGTAAATGGATGAAAAATGGCTCCACAACTTATTCTGATAAAAGTCAAACTTTTAAAAATTTATAAATTGATTTTAACTACTATATTGTTTAATCATTGCAAAAAATTAAAAGTAAAAAAATTTGTTTAAACATGTGCTCAGATGACATTAAAATATTCAGAAATCCAGAAATTTACGCAGATTGAAATCACGTTTAGGCAACAAACAGAAATGGACGTGTTTGCTGATAACCAGACAATGAAGGCAAAAACACTTTGCTTCCTCCATTAACTCCATTTGGTAGAAACCACAAAAAGGACATAAATGCGTCCATTAACACTGCTCGAAATGGGTGCACAATTGAATTGGCACTTAATATTTAGACCAGCTA